CCTAGACAATCCAACCGGCTGCAGTACAACGAGTTCCATCCGTCCTCATCTGGTGAGATCGACCAACGAAACTCTTCTTCATGCACTTTCATACGAAATGAAGGTCCCTCTAACAAAGTTATTTCAGGAGATTCATCGAAACCCAGTTTTTCTTTGTATCTACATTGTCTACATTGTCTATTTTCTCTGTCCCTTCCGTTTACCTTTAAATTTATTAGATTTTTTAAGGCCCCTATCCGCCTATACGATGATTTACACTAGTTTTATAACCTATAACTTTTTTATTTTTACCTCTATATTTGGCTTTAATACCGTATGCAACTATCGATCATTCTTTTTCTCACTGCTTTTTTAACGTCATCATTATCTTCTCTATCTTTCGTCCGCCATACAAGTAAACAATTTCCACTAATTGTACAATTACACTTTACATCACTTATGCATTGATACGATTATTGTTGCTAGGGTATAAGGGTTCTTAGATGATCCGTCATTTCAGCCAAAAAATGTTATACAAGTTATTCTTCATTCGTCATAGTCAACATGCTTGGGGGTCTTCTGCTTTGCAATGGAACCCACATTTTTTAATATTTTACTTCTGTTCATGCATTGTCCGTTTTCATTCATCCGTCTAACTTTAACTCGGGCATTCCAATACCTTCTCATCTGACATTCTCATTCTTGGTCGTGGTTGTTATTTTGGTTCTAGCTTGTCCTTTCATCTACGACCATTCATACGCACCTGAAAATTGCGGAAACCAGTTTATTAAATAAGTTAGGGGAGATGAAAGTCAGACAGTTTATTAGAAAACGAAGCGTGTTTAACAAAAATTAGCTGATAAAAATAGGTTGTAGACATCAAGGCAACAATTACTTGACCTTTTGCTTGTCGCAATCTCCTTTAGCCTTAAGGTTGGTTTGATCTTGTTTTCGCATTTTGGTAGGAGGGACAGGGAGTCTTTGTGAAGCACACTTAGTCCTCCTTTCTCTGCGGTATTTATCATGATTTTCACCTTCGAACCATTTACTTATTATATGCCCAGACGCTCCGTCCGCATCGTTTTTTGGAGGCGCCATCCTTAGCACAATTCCAAATTATCAATGTAACAAACAAAGACAATCCCTTTGACCAATTTCCTGTTAAACCGTTGTAGCAGAACTTTGACCAAGTTGCGAAAACGAGATCAAATCAACACCAATATAAATAGAGTTTACGTCACTCATTGCGATCTTGGCAGACCGCCACCGATAATTCTTATCTGAAACCCTATTTATGATTTTTCCGTTCAAAACGACAATTATTCTTGTCTTTCGCATGAAACATCAAGGCTTACTTTTACCTCACTTATATTATCATCAGTAGTATTCCTTATTTTTTTAATCAACTTATTAATTAGTTAAAATGAATAACCCAAGTGCTAAACGCCTCATACGTCTTCACATAGCAATACTATCTATAATTACTTATGATCATTCCTCTATTATTGATATTCCACATTTCCACTCTTCCATAAGCCTATATAAGATGGCCTTTATCTCGGTAAGCAACAACAAACAGCCATGTTGTTCTAGCTGGCTCTTTACTTCGAACATGCATTTTCCCCAACACCTTTTACTAAAGGATTTATTTGCTATTCATTTTTTTACAATTATTTAGCCTACACTTATACAATCATTTAATACATTACTTCCATATTACTTGGCAAGAGTTATTTCTTTTTAAAATATCTGTACAATTTTTTTTACATAAATCCTTGCTGCGCCGTTTGTTGAAGGGCAAAATAACCATTTCTTCTCATTTTTACCCTAACCCAGGGTACCATCTTTTTATTAGCGCCACTTCTCACAGTTTTGCCAAGGTTTTTTATGACTTCGATCCTTATTTTCACATTTTTTTATCAATTGCATCTTCAAATAAATATTTGAAGCTTCGCTACTTTCCGATATCCTATTCTACTATTACCTATAGCCTCTTTCCGTGACATTAAACCCAATTAAATTATTTACCTCATCATTGGACTATTTTGATATCTTGCTGTCTAAAAAAATTGGTTACCAGTAGTTCCCTCATAATTATTGATTTCTGCTTTTATTTTCGTCAAGGGTGTTATGCTGATCGGCCCAAACCTCTTCGAAACCGATTCTCCCTCGACACAAATGACACGACATTCATGAACTTTGATATACCGAACCACTTTGAAACCGTCCTTCCTGTCACTAAAGACCCAACTCTTATGTGAGTTTTATCCATTGTTTTTTATTTTTTACTATTATTTTAAAATTCTTAACTTTATCAGATTTTCTCCACATTGAAAGATTCAATTTACGCCGACAGAAAGCACTAATAATAGATGCCACTTGGCAATATGTTATGCCACTTTTTGAACTTTAGCTGATTGAAATATTGTGGAGGCTTTCGCCTTTTATTATGGTTTTCTCGTTTCTAACCGGTCAAAACCCCACTATTTGTTTCCTAGAAATTTATTATTTTGTCTGCCTCCCTACATCGTAAAGCGCATTGGCGCTTTATTCAGTTGATTGCGTAGAAAGCCTAATGAAACTATTCAATTTTTCTCTTTTCTGCAACTTGGCATCATTTTCCCATGGTCGATCTTTCTTTTCAAGGGTTCTACTTTTTTATTAATCAGCTAGTTTATTTTGTGAACTTAATGAAGATTATCTTATCTTCATAAATTAATCAATTACAGGCTTCTATCTTTGACTATACTCTCATTCTATTTAACTGATTCCTTGGTCCTAGATTTATACTTTTTCCTTTACTTTTTTTTCTGATTTCGTTGATTTCAGGCTTCCTCGTCGATCTTTAGCTCATTCCTCTATCGCATCTCGACGTCTTAGTGCCGGCCTGTCTGGAGTCTCCGTCACTGGCCTAGTGGGCCTCGGTGGCATTTCCACACTTCCTACCCTAGAGGCTGCTGCTATCAGCTGTGGTAGCACAGCCACTGGTTCTGTTTCCGCAGCTACAGTTTCTCCTTGGACTTTGGCGGGTACCCTTTTTCATCGTCACAAACCTGCTAAATGGATGCGTCTCGGTGTATGTCTTTTGACCAGAGCAGCTCGTCTTATCGGGCACAAGGGGTCTCCGAATCAAATACTTGCATTCTTCCCTGTACCTGCTGCTGCGACACCTCCCGTTCAGTTAGACCTCAAGGCCTCAGCTGACGCCACCACCGTTTCCTCGCTTACAAACTCTCTCTCTGGAACCAACGGATCGCCAAACCACTCTACGAGTTTCCCATCCTCTTCCGCCAGTATCAGCATCCAAACCACACCTCCCACCGTCCATTTTATGCCCACTACACATCCCTCGCTTGTTGTTTTTTTGGTTGGAGCGGTAGGCGTCTACGCTGGCCGAGACAGTGGCAAGGAACATGTTATCAAGGTGACCCATCCGCAACAGGGCACGACTGTTCTGGCAGCTGAGAGCATGGAGCAGGCAATGACCTGGATCGAGGTGAGTGGAGTTGGAAAAGGCTTACTAAAATCTCTGATATAGTACTTTTGCCACAACTTACTATAATGCTAGCAATAATAATAATCAACACCTACGCCAATACATTTCACGCCTGCTTTTCTTATTCCTGAGATTATATAATGATGAAAATGGCTTTTTAATTGCTTTTTTGTTTTTTGAACAGCTTGGGTAATGTGACGAAGTTTTTGGACTGACTTTTCTTTGAAGCTAGAAAAATGTACATTAACTTCCTTAGTCATACATTGGGATATGCTTTTAATAGTAGAACACTAGTTATTATCCCATATAAATAATTTAATTGCAACCTTAGTAGTTGGTGGTTTTTATTGAATCTATTTATATTTATTAATTTATTTCTTACTTTGCTAATCTTCCTACACCTTAGCAAATCAATCTGTACGCACGGGGTTTTACGCCAACCCAAACTGTCTGTTTTCTCGAACTATCTTCTGGCAACGCAGCTGTCTCATCAGGTCAGGCTGGATATTTCAGATCCAACAGCCACATTAACAGTAGCGCGAGCGCTAGTGGAGTATTCTCATCACCTTCTACAGCTGCTTCTCCTATGTTTGCATCATCATCACTTTTAGCTGCGACCACCAACAATTTATCTGAGTCTATTCCAGTTACTTCCATCCACTCGGCCCCGCCTGCTGGACAATCGTATCAACTTGTCACGCCCCAGACCTCCCCTGCAGGACAGGCACCTAACCCGAATCCAGGTGCAGGACCTACAGACGTTCCTTCTTCGGCAAGTAGCTCAATAATTTCCGGCCAATTAAATCTAAATCAGCAGCAGTTGTCTAATTGTTTGGCGGGCAATTCACCAACTCTGGAATCTTTTTCTCCTCATCTCGCCTCATCTGTCAGTTGTCGTGACCAGGTATTTTGTCTTCATTATTTATGAAGCACATTCTCACATTTCATTTAAGCTCACTTTTTCTGAGTTTTAACTTTATCCGCAACAATTTTTTACTGTTTGGAATCTAAGATCCATTCCAAAAACTCTGGCTTTACGCTTGTAATCATTAATTCCTCATTATTGTGCTATTATTATTTAAAAAGCACTACCAGTTCATTTCACCATAATCTGACGGCAGTATCAAAATTCTTGTCTCCATCATGGCACATTTAAATGACGAAAAGTTTTTCATATCGTTGTTGATGCCTCGAATG